AAGGTTTAAGTACGTACCTATAGTACGAATTAGTACGTACGTAGTTAGGTAAGTAACTACTACCTACTATATATATATATATATATATATAGTGATGATTCCATTCTTGTTAGACACATATACACTAGGTTCTAGAAGGCAAAATACAAATAGCAAAACTCCTATATCATTGTGAAGCACCTTAAGACATCATAAAAGGAATAAGCAACATCGATAGCTAGTTAAATATGCATTAAACACTTCTATGCAACATTTAAGTTCAAAATAATGTCTTCCTGCACGCAATAGATGTTCCCGTCCTTTAAGCGGGTCGATCTATGAGTGATCAGTTTACTTTCGTTTACATACCTTAAGAGACATAATATTTGGTTAGATCTTATAGACGTGATTAACTTCAGTCGTGAATTGACATAAAAGTATTTTGCACATCTTGTGTACTTGTACAAAACATTTGCTTCACTAGAAATCACACTGAGAGCTTTCAGTTACTCTTTAGGTGTTGTTTTGCTTCACTAGAAATCACACTGAGAGCTTTCAGTTACTCTTTAGGTGTTGTTTTGCTTCACTAGAAATCACACTGAGAGCTTTCAGTTACTCTTTAGGTGTTGTTTTGCTTTCCTATGAAAGTAAGGACTTCAATTACTTATGCTTTATAACTCAAAATATGTTAGTATAATTCAGTTATTTTGTACGTTTATATCCATCTCATTTGTACTTACTTAAAGTCACAGTTAAGACTTTTTTTTCGGTACCCCCTCCCCCATCCTTCAGTACTTGACGCGACCTTTTCTCAAGTTCTTGACGCTTATACATTTCATGGACAGTAATGCCAAACGTGTAAGGTAGTGTCTCAGCACATTTCCCATAAGGCCTAAAATTACTTTTCCCAGCCTTGCGCTTGTCCCATTAATTGGGATGTACCAGTTGGATAACATTTACTAAATATAATCGAATATTCGATGAAAGCCCCTATTCTGCACAATAAAATAACAAATAAACAAAAACTGGGGTCATCAAACCATAACAGCGTTAAACTGTTGAAGGATTTCTCTGTTAGTTAATTTTGAAAATCTTGAAGTCTCTTCGATCAATTTTATCATTTTTCTCAATTTCAATGTATGTTCTTAAAATGATAATGTAGGCAATATTGATATTGTTTCAGCTGTGTCTTAGAGGAAATGAATGACATATGTAAATATATGTTTTGTGCCAGTTGTTAATTGACGTCAACAGTCTCCTGATCATTTAATACAAACACAAGTGCCTGACTACAATAGAAATTCTTCTCCAGATTGATTTTTCCAAATACGGAAATAGCGTTGACTTGCAACCCTACTAATGGCATCAGGGCCTTAATGATATTTTTCACAAGTTAAGAATTTATAACTTAAAAATAAGAAAAATTTTCTGGAATGATGAACAATTTCTTTTGAGTTTAAAGATCGAACCTAACCAATTACACAAAAACGTATTTTATCGAATTGTCTATTTAAGGAATTGTCTATTTCATATTTCAAAGGAAATATTTATTACACGATGTTGTAAATTCTAAAAATAAATATTCGATGATAATATAAGTTATTTCCTTTTAATGTCTGTTATCTTTTTGTCAGCAGAGAGCAGAAAGAAAAGTATTTGATGCTACAAAAAAAAACAACCAAAACAGTAACACTCTGGTAATGCTTTCAACAACTTTCAAAGTCATTTCGAAGTTGTTGACCTATTTGCGGAAACAGCTAAGCCCTTCGCACCATTTCTATTCCTTTACTTCTTTTCTTGTATGAAGTTTAAATTATAGTACATCTTTTTCCTCTTAACTCTTTCGTGGAAATGAGATTTGAAATTTATAGGATCTTTAGACTCCTTCTCCCCTGAAATAACACTTGAGCTGTATAGTATTTTTATTGAAGCTTTTTACAAATGTTTCCTTTTAAACGAAAAAGTTATGTCTTTCTCGTTTTCAGAACACGGGAACAGAATGATTTGTGCTACTTCGTGTTAATAAAAATATGTGTCTCGAGTTTGAAATGATTTGTGATTGTCATTTTGGCCTTTTCTAAATATTATTTTGTTATTATTAATTTATTTCATTAAATAAAATTTGGAATTAAAATACATTTATTTTAATTTTCAGACGTGCGTAAAGACTGAAATAGAAACGAAAGAAAATGTTTTTGTAAATCAACAAAACAAGATATAATTATATTTTCAGTTTTACAGCATGAATCTAAAAATACAATACTTTATAAGACTGAAACTGATTGATTTAATGTCAGTAAATTGCTTGAATAAGGTTTGATGTTTTTGTTATTAGCACAACATTGTTTAGGTATTAGTTTATATGATTTGCATTCGTATAATTCATATGCATCGTTTGAGCACTTTATTTTAAACTGACTAATTATTATTTTTATCTAAATCTGATCTTAAAGACTCTGATCTTTGCTAGTTTTAGAAGTGTTACGTATTAGAATTTCGAATAGTTCGAAGCCGAGTTAACTGATAATTTAAATTTAGTAGTTAAATTGTACTTAGGATTTGGTATTCAAATATATGCCGATATATTAGTCAATTTATGATATTTGCCAACAAGATTGATACACACCGTTATCGTTTTTAACACAAATACGTTTTAATATACACACAACAATACAATTTACAGCAACAATTGTTACAAATAGTTATTACAAACAAAGATTTATAAACAAAAGTTTCACAAACTTATAAACAATATAAAATCTTCTTTCTAGTTTGGAACTCTCTTGATATATTATCGAGGGTTTACAATGAGCGAATTAATTATGAGTTCCTTGGCCACACACGCTAGGTTTTCTGCTGTTGAGGTGAGGGAATGTTTTCGTAAAAATACTAATGTCCGACGAGAAACCACTGAAGTTAAATAATTTGTAATGTTCGAACTTTGTAAAGGTTCCTGGTCAAATATCTGAAGTTTTACGATTGGTAAGCATTATAACAATCACAGTTATAGCTTTCGAAGTTTATAACACACTGACTATAGCGAACTAATAATAGACACTCTCCCTTGGCACGTCGAGTTGGTTAAATGTATAGCCGTGGGAAAATTTTCTAGAAAATTCAGTCCTACGTAAGAATACTGAGCTACATTTAAACGTTTAAGTATATACATATATTGTTGCTTCTTACTCTCGAGAATTTTCTAGAACTTTGGAGAATAGGCGGGAGTTTTGCAATACATATTTAACACTATAAGCTATGTATGTTTCTAAATATAAACTCAATCCAAACAAACGTTGACATTAAAATAAATATATAACAACAAATTCGTTACAGGAGTTAAAGTTTAATCGTTTAAATGATTAGAAACTTTCCAAATGGTAAAATCTTAAGTCAGTTATAAATTTGGATCAAATAAAATTAGTGGAATATTTGTATAATTTTTATGAATTACTTTGAACCTCCCCCAAATGCATCCGTAAACGAACTCAAAATAGTATCAGAGTTATGACGTCATTTTTATAATATTTTGGTATGTTTTATGAAAACAGGGAGAAAATTCAATGTTGAAACATATCAACAAAAAGAAAAAAATCTGAAAGTGTTCTAAATATGCAATTGTTTATCTCTTATGGAAGAAAGATAATTTACAAGAATAAAAACGATAATCTGTGGCTAATGTTCTTGACTCAGTAATAACGTTGTAGTTTAACCTCTGAGGTACTAAGATGATAACAGGTTGACAAATCGGTTCAAAGAGGACTATAGTGAATTTTCCTCTCGACTAAACAGCTTCAACATTTAAATGGAGAGGCATTATAAGATTGGAGAATTTAGGGAACAGTTGTGTTTTTCGTTTGTGATTTCATCGCCTACACTTTAACATTGACAATCAAAATAAAACTAATTTCTCTCAATTCTCTCTTCTTTAACAAATAATTGTTGGTTAAACTGAGTTATATGTTGCTCTATGCTGAGAAAGTTAACAGTAAAGGAGTTTTATCAAAATAGTATTTCCATTTATACAGTTTTATTTCAAACCTACGTCACATAATTACTTTAATATTATTGGTTAAACCATAGTAAGTTTGTAATTACCTATTTTTGCATTTTGATTTATAAATCAAATTTAAATATTCTTCGGTAAAATGTGTTACTGTTTCGATTTATTTATTTTTTTCGACTGAAAAACTGCGTTCATTACTTACTGTAATACAGGTGCTTTGTTTGAAACACTTAACACTGGACATTGCATCGTCACTTAATCACAGATGGACGTTCGTGACCTACCCTAGCCATTTCCCAGTTATTTATTTATTATTAATTTAGAACGTCTCTATATTCAACTTGAAATGTGAATAAAAAATTCAAAAATTAAAAGATGCTAAAACTTAAAATATAAAATGTGCAAAGGTATTGAAATTTTTTAATGTATAATAAAAAACAGGTTTTAGCTATAGAAAGTTAAATCTAACACATTCTCAAAACATAAATCAGTTTTTGATTTAAACTGACAATGTGACTTGGGAGGTGAGTTTTGTTTGTAGATTTTTGCAGGAGAATTGTTAATGATTTGTAAAAGTCAGATTTAATTGTTTGTTTATGAAATTCATTACTAACTTTTCGAAAGGGCTTTTGTCGTTACATCGTTGGTGCAATTTACTTATGATTTGAAAAACTTCAGATTATTTTGGATTGTACTTATCTTTATTGTATTCCTAGTTTTACTTATTCTTGCGTCACAACGGGTCGACAGTGTGCTGATTAGCTGGTTTGGTACGAAGAAGAAGAAACACGGTTTGGTGAATGACCTGATAACGAAACGAGGAGCACCTCCGACCATCATTGAATGGATGATTTTAGCTTGGGTCGCAGGTTAGTTTTATAAAATTTTAAAGTATGACTGTCTTAAGATACTGAACGCGGGGAATCGAGTTTATGTAAGGTCATAAACGAAACTTTCTAAAATTATTATAGTAAAACATACATACTAAACATGGGTATATTTACTAATTGTTTTAAGCATTGATAATTAGCCCAAAATCATACTTTCGAACCGTTTTATCTATTTTGTTACTTGTTGGGGGAAAGTAACTCATCTGATAATTGAGAGGGCGTTAGATAATTATTTTTCTCGACGATATCCTACTTTCATAAGTCTTTCTTCTACATTTCTAAAGATTTGTATAAAAATCACATAAACTTCGGATGGTATTTTCTTCGTTCCCCATAATTAGGACATATAAATTTCGAATGGTATTTTCTTCGTTCCCCATAATTAGGACATATAAACTTCGGATGGTATTTTCTTCGTTCCCCATAATTAGGATTCAAAATTATGAGGAATGTGGTGAAAAATCTACAGTTTATTTTATCACAACTTTTAGGCCTATTGGTTTGTAATTCTTCACTAGCTTTCGGCACTTAAACCGTAAATGTTCTAAAAATTGTTTTGCATAATGTTCTTGTGTAACTATTCATCTTGGACCGACCTAATCTTTAAAAGTAGCGAAAATTATATACAAAATTTATATTGAAACATTTTCTTAAGTTATAAGTTATTTAAAGCCAGTTACCAGAAAAATTATGATAATTGGTGATTAAATAAGGTGATTTTTTATCAATTCGGGATGTTATAGAGTATATATATAACGTTTCAGTTTATTGACCACAAACAAACAAACCAGATATAATCTTATGTTCAGATTTTGAGTAACCAAATTATTCTAACAATCTGTTCTAGTTGAAATTATATATATATATATTTGGAGTTCAAATCTGATTTATGATAAGTAAGAAAATGTTATAATAAATGTCAGGCAAAGTGCATTAGGTAATGAAACATTCTTTATTTCAGGGTTAATCTGGAGCGAGATCAAACAACTATGGGAATCAGGACTTATAGAATATATCAGTGACATGTGGAATATAATTGATTTTATTACCAACTCCCTTTACGTGGCCACCGTGGCGCTTCGAGCGGTTGCCTACTTTCAGGTAGAGGAGTAAAGCGACACCTTATTTACATAATCAGTTGTCTAAGATATTTTGTTAAACTATAAAACATTTATGTTTGTACTGATAATTCTACATTGAACTTTTTTATTTTGTTTATCTGTTTGTTTTAGCGCAAAGCTGCTCAGTGATCTCTTTCTTCATGATGCGTTCTGTCCGCTACGGAGATTGAATTTCGAATTCTAGCGTTATAAGCCGTTAAGCGCTGAGCCATCGGGAAACTTTCTTTTTATTTTTGTGCATTTAGAATCGCATAATCGATAATAATGTTTTGTTTTGTTTTCAGTCAAGTTTTAATGCTGATGATGTACAGTTATATTAGTTGTCTGCCGATGAATATACAATGAAAATAATAACTTTCGTATGTCGATGGGACGTTAAATGTCAGTGCTTTCAAGAAGAGAGAGAAATAACATTTCAAGTACTTCGTCGGACTGACAAAATTATATTGATAAAAATATTGACCAATCAATTAACCTATTCTTCATGCAAGTCTTACAATGAAATTATTGATATTTACGATGAACAGGTATAGATATGATATTTCTTTTTCTGTCTTTTCAGGTACAGAAAGAGATAGTACTAAATACTGGCACTGCTTATCTTCCCCGAGAACACTGGGATGCCTGGGACCCTATCCTTATAGCCGAGGGACTTTTCGCGGCAGCCAATATTTTTAGGTAGGTAGACGAGAAAATTGTATGGATACTCAGTTCTCAAAGTTGTCAGCAGCGTATTGATATATGCTTATATGAGCTAAGTGCCTTGTTCAAGAACTCCACTTAACCTACTTGAACAGCTGCACAAAGACACCCTATTCATGTGTCAGCAGCACATCACTGCAGAGTTACCCATGATCTCTGGATAATTTATACGTGTATGTGTGTTCGTGATCATTAAGCGGAGGAGATAAAAGAAAATTATATCTGCAAATAGGCATTTTCCTGATTAGATTATAGAGTATAAAGAAGGGTAATGAGAAGTTTGTTAGGTTATGGAATTTGCTTATAACTATAAATAGACTCTAATTTTTGTTTCTATGTACCGTGTTATAGATGTATTATCATCACCATGTTTTAACTATGATTTCAACTATGTGTAAAAATGGGAAAAATGTAGCTTACGAAATTCAGTTATAGTTTTAAGGCACTTAAGAGTGAAAGTAAAGAAGGGTGTATAACAATATGTAAAACACACCATTGCCGGTGAAGCATTTCGACCAATACTAGGGCTCATCAGTCTGGATACGACAGGTATAGTGGTGGTTGATACGATATTTATATTAAGATAAATTCTTCATCAGCTGCAGTTCTTATCTTAACACAAGCATAACAGTATGTACCATGCTTTTGTTTTTTAATAATAAGTTTCTTGGATGCTTTTTTTCTTTGTTTTTTCTGGATTATAAAAATAGAATTTCTTATTATTCTGGTGATCACAACAAACTACTTTTCATACCGATTTCAACCGATATTTCTTTCTGCAGTTCGCTGAAACTAGTATACATCTTCTCGGTAAATCCTCACCTTGGCCCCCTCCAGATATGTCTGGGCAGGATGGTTATTGACATCCTCAAGTTCTTCTTCGTCTACACGCTGGTATTATTTGCTTTTGCCTGTGGGATGAACCAGCTGCTATGGTATTACGCTGACTTGGAGAAGAAAACGTGCGAAGAAAGTCTGAGATCCCCCCACAACAAAACAGATACGGCAGCGTGTTTAACTTGGAGGAGATTTGCCAAGTATGTCTACCTGTCTATACGAGTCGTAAGCTTCTCATTTCCCTAAAACGATTTATTATTATCTGCCAGAATGATAGCTAGATAATAGAAGTATGAATTATCTTATCTGCCAGAATGATAGCTAGATAATAGAAGTATGAATTATATTATCTGCTAGAATGGTAGCTAGATAATAGAAGTATGAATTATCTTATCTGCCAGAATGATAGCTAGATAATAGAAGTATGAATTATCTTATCTGCCAGAATGATAGCTAGATGATAGCTAGATCATAGAAGTATGAATTATCTTATCTGCCAGATTGATAGCTAGATAATAGAAGTATGAATTATCTTATCTGCCAGAATGATAGCTAGATAATAGAAGTATGAATTATCTTATCTGCCAGAATGATAGCTAGATAATAGAAGTATGAATTATCTTATCTGCCAGAATGATAGCTAGATAATAGAAGTATGAATTATATTATCTGCTAGAATGGTAGCTAGATAATAGAAGTATGAATTATCTTATCTGCCAGAATGATAGCTAGATAATAGAAGTATGCATTGTCTACACTAGTTAGTGTTTCTGATCAACATCGTTAAAGAAAACATTATAGATCGAACTTCTTAACATAATTCACTCTTTTGGATCTTGATGAGAATATTGGCAAAAACATACGAGGGGAAAAAAATTAGTGTCGTGTTATTATTTGCAACAAAGAATTTTAAAAACTCAGCAAAACTACTGGAAGCACCTGATACAAAAATAAAATCCTACTGCGTAGTACCTGATGTTAAAATATTATCATACTGTGTACGTCCTGATACTATAATAGTAATCATACTGTGAAGTGCATGATACTATAATAGTAATTATACTGTGCAGTGCCTGATACTATAATAGTAATCATACTGTGAAGTGCATGATACTATAATAGTAATCATACTGTGAAGTGCCTGATACTATAATAGTAATTATACTGTGCAGTGCATGATACTATAATAGTAATCATACTGTGAAGTACTTGATACTAAAATGATATAATTATACTGTATAGTACCTGATACTAAAATAATAATCATATCGTGTACTACCGAATATTGAAATAGCAATCATACTTCAAGAGTTATAGGGCAATAACAGTAACATGTGATATTGCTCTAACAACTAAAATACAGATCTTAATTCAATAAGAAAGAATCAGAGAATTAAGTAATTAAAACTGAAGCTAGTATTACATATTTCTTAACCTGTCACTCCTTAGCCTTTATCTTGTTTTCATTACTTGATATTCTTGTTTGAATTGACTTACAATTTTCCTTGCTGTTTTAATGTTTATTATTGTTGCTTTTTTCTGCTTTTACTCTGATATTTTCACTGTATTGTAAGTTTATAGCAGATCTTCCTTCAGTGACAAACATGACTGGTATCACTGTTTTTGATAGCTTTGTTTTGAATAAATCTTAACTTATTGGCTAACATGACTAGTAACACTGATGCTGATATCTTTGTTTTGAACTAGACCTGACATGGCCTGTTGGTTAGGACGCTCGACACACAATCTGTGGGTCGCGGGTTTGAATCCCGTTGCGAAACATGCTCACATTTTTAGTTGTGGGGCATTATAATGTGACGATCAATTCCATTTTTCATTGGTAAAATAGCAGCCCAAAAGTTTGTGGTGAGTGATATTGACTAGCTGTCTTCCCTCTCATCTATCACTTTTTAATTAGGGACAGTTATCGCAGACAGCCCTCGAGTAGCTTTGCGCGAAATTTAACAAACAAACAAACAGAACGACTGAACTGGTTTGATTGTGTTCTAACCTAAGAATCCTTATCATCAAATTTCTAGAATGTCAAATGTTCTATTACTGATTTAAATCTGTTTAATTTTTAAAATAAATACTAGTAAAGTTAACTCTTAACTAACTTAATTCTGGGAGCTGTGTATGTGAATTTTCTATTGCCTGTTATCTGTTTTAGCTCACATCTGTACAAAGGGATATCCGCTCTATCTCCTGATCAGGGATCGAACTCCCTAATTCAAGCGCTATTATTCGCCAAGCTTACAGCTGAGCCACCGGGGGAGCAAATTTCCAAGGAGCTGATCATTAATTTTACATTTTGTCACTGGTAGTTTGATCTTTTACAGTAATTACATTTGTTTTAAATACTGTAGCACATTAAAAGGGGGGGGGGAAATCCTTCATAGAAGCACATACTTTACACAACAGCCTGTGGTTAATTAGTAGTCATTAACTGGCATCTTTTATTATTAACATAATTGCATGACAATGTATAAGTTCACTTTCCGGTGCTCTCCTTATATTCCGTTTTCATTACAGTGTGTTTGAATCATCACAGACGTTGTTTTGGGCAAGTTTTGGTTTGATTGACCTCGACAGCTTTGAACTTACCGGGATTAAAACCTATACCCGTTTCTGGGGGATGTTGATGTTTGGTACCTACTCTGTAATCAACATCGTTGTCCTCCTGAATCTTCTCATCGCCATGATGAACCATTCATATCAAATCATCTCGGTAAGTTATAGCGATCAAAAACTGTAAATATTGCTCATAATAAGTAATATTTCACGCTGATTTCAGGAGACACGTAACAATGTTCTTATGAAGATGGGTATGTCAGTTGACAATGTTCTTATGAAGATGGGTATGTCAGTTAACAATGTTCTTATAAAGATGGGTATGCCAGTTGACAATGTTCTTATGAAGATGGGTATGTCAGTTGACAATGTTCTTATTAAAACACGAATATCAACTTAAATCGTTAAAACAGGTATATTAGTTGAAAACATTCTTAATACGATAAGTATATCAGTTAACAATATTGTTATTGAAAGTTTATGATAGTTGATAATATGCTTATCAAGACAGGTACATTGGTTGATACATCAAGTCATAAACACACGAATGTCAGTTGATACATAGTATTATCGTCTCAAGTCATAATCTGAACGCGTTTACAGAATACTAGTTGTTGTTTTTTTTTCACTTTTCGTCCTATAAGTTTGTTCGCTTCTCTAGATTATATGACGCATGATCAGCTTAAACGGCAACGTTACATACAAATTATATTATAACAATGCTTTGGGTTTTTGTATCCCAGCCTATCCCGCTTTGATTATAGAACGAAATACTTCGTCAGCAGTGCAGTGCGGCAGTCAAAATAAGGTTTGGAGTTATTTGTGCACGTATTTTCTGACCGAACCTGCTAAAATTTGGGTTTGGGAACATCGGTAGTCTAGCCTGATGTTTAATCACATTCTTGGTGGATGATCTCTTTGATTTAATTTACGATGATCAAATTCGATGATGTGGCTATCACGCGCGTTAATACTTATGCCACTGCTATTCTACACAGTTTAAAAGCATACCAACTTTAGAGTATATTACATGTTTTTCCCAATCTTAAAATGAAATCTATATAGACCCACAGTGGTACAAACGATTCTTTGTACACTACTTTACTAATATCGTTGCGCACTTTCAACATATGGGGTGAGATGTGGCAACTATCCTTTCTAATATTCCCAAAGATTAGCATACAGCTTACGATACATTTTAGTCTAAAACGTAATTTTGGCGTTTGTAAATCAAACATAATTATATACTCACGAAAACAGTGGTGCTTTAATTATATTATTAAACCAATTAAACAAAAACAGTGGTGATTTTATTATATTATTAAACCAATTAAATATAGTTATATACTCACAAAAACAGTGGTGATTTTATTATATTATTAAACCAATTAAATATAGTTATATACTTACGAAAACTAGTGGTGCTTTTATTATATTATTAAACCAATTAAATATAGTTATATACTCACAAAAACAGTGGTGATTTTATTATATTATTAAACCAATTAAATATAGTTATATACTTACGAAAACTGTGGTGCTTTTATTATATTATTAAACCAATCAAATACAGTCGTATACTCGTGAAAACAATGGAGCTTTCTATTTTGCTTCAAACAAGTCATTAGAATTGTAATATTACAAATACCTCTATTAAACTTATTATATATATCAAATGTTTATGGGTTTGAGTATAAATTATGGTTTAACCATGGGCCGTAATTAATCCTTCTAAACAGTCACAACGACAGACTAAATCAGTTTTCCAAAAGCTGTCACTAAGTTATACAGTCTGTTGATAAAGGTGCATAACTGAAACAATGATACAATAAAAACAAGGTTGTTTCTCTCCCTCACATACACATATTTAAAAGTCAAATAATTTGACCAGATTCTAAAGTACATAATTAGAATAGGCTAGGAAACGTAATAGTCGGCTAACTAAACTCTAAGTTTGTTGTCTTTCAGTTTAGTTTAACCTAGCTTATATTAATATTTGTAATCTGTAATTAATGAACTTCAAGGCTATATATACTTTAGTAGGCTTGTTGTCTGTTAGTTTAGTTTTGACAACAAGTTTCACTGTTTTTTTGTTTCATTATTAATTAATGAAGCTTATGTAAAATGTAAGAAATTTCCGATAGTAATATTCTTCTCATTTGATAACCTTTAACTGTATACAAGAAAACTGTGTAAAGGGGCATTGTATTAAAAGAAAGTCGCTTATTCAACAAAAGTGTCTAAAAAAAAATCCACCAGTAATTTATGAGCTTAGGTGCTGCCATCTGTTGACCAAATCACAAACATTAATGCACAATTTCTTATTGTTGTTTGATAAAGTTCGGGCGAATAAATTCGAAGTTTAACAAACGATAAGAAATGTTCCCTAACATATGTAATTTTTCATCACATTTTAAATAAAGTTTTATGAAAACGCAGTCGTGTGTACATGAAAGATTTGAACATAAAAATGAATGTGTTGCTGATAAGTAGAAAACATGGACTACCAATTCCAATGTGTCAGTCAGTGCTTATTTCAAGTGAAAATCTCCTGCTGCATTTCATCATTTTTTTACTATTTATCGAACTTTCTGACTTGTCCGAGTTTAAAGCTACATCAATTTTGTGTGTGTGTGACTTTAATATATATGTGTGTGTGTGTAAGTATATCTATATATATACTACAGAACGTATAACAAATCAATATTACACATCTAGAAGATTTACAGTGATTTTCTATTTTAACACTACAGTGATGCATACCTTGCCAATGTAGGTTCCAAATTCAAATCTTCAAAGGTTAAAAGTATCACTATGTGATCGAGGGCTAATTTTTTTTAAAGAAGGTGCCAGTATTTAAGAAAATTGTAATGCGTTTATTTAAAGTGAAAAGGTTTTCTTTTCTTTGGATAGCAATGGCATAAAATCATAAAAGCTGCTTAACAAAAACTACTGTTTTTTATAAGATTTCATTAAAAAGCGAATTCATAGTGTATCATGTAGTATAACACATAATATAAAATAAAAAGTATAAAAGTAGCACTCCATCTAGGAGCACTGCTAGTATTTTTAAAAATGCATGCAAAAATGAGTTTTTTGCAACATTGAACTATACACAAATGTATATTCTACGTTACGGGTACATCACTCCTGTCATTGAAGGTCTTATTAATAACCATGTTTTTATATTTTAGTATACTATAAAATTCCTTCTATTAGTTTCTACTGTCTTGATGACCAACAGTGTTATCTTGTTACATAATTTTCGTTTTACCAAAATAAAAATTTACAAAAACAACAAGAAATTTTATTGGATGAACAGGATAAATTTGAAATACCCGTAAAAGATGTGAATCGCAGTCATAAGCCTATACGTAAAAACGTATTATTAGGAGAAACATTGAATATTCAATTACACGCTAATTATTAAAATTTGTTAAAAAAAACAGAATCAAAACATTTTGATATCATACTTTTTATCTATATTTTCTTGAAAGGAGCATACTGATAAGGAATGGAAATTTGCACGAAGTAAATTATGGATGAGTTATTTTGAAGATGGCGCCACCGTTCCTCCTCCTTTCAATATCATACCCACTCCTAAAAGTTTTTATTATCTCCTTTGCTGGTTTGTCAGGAAGATCTGTGGGTATTCACGATCAGCGAAGAAACAAAATCTTAAAACGTACCGGGTAAGTCTTGGTTAGAATCTTTTCCGACCGTTGAAAACGAAACTTGTATTGAAAACCACTTTTTGTTACTTTTTTTAGGGGATGGTATATGCATTTAAGAAATTCTTTGAAAAGAAAATGGTTGTTTTCTATCAAAAATTACTTAATTCAACTATTATGTTAAACGATAATTAAATAGTACACTTTTACAACAGAAAAAAAAATACATATAATGCTAAACTTACCTTTTTCCGTTTAGAACCTGTTCATGACTATTTACAGTTTGCACATGAATTTCTCACAGTTTGTGAATTAATTCTTCACATTTTCTGTATAATTCCTCTCAATTTGTACATTAATTTTACAAAACTTGTCCACGAATTTTTTAAGAGCCTGTAAATAAACATTTGAAAGATAGCCAGATATTAATGCACAAGGCTATAAACTTCATAAAACTCCATCTACAGTCAGTTGTGTTGTACTAGTAAAGAAAAAACAAACAAACTTGCGTATATGGTATCTGAACAGGGGATGAAAAGTTTCGTTAGAAAGCTTCTGCTCATCTAATGTGATACTGTTTCACTGTACCTGAAATAAGATTTAGTATTAACATGCCTGACATAAGACCACAGTCAGACTAATAATAATTAATAACAAATAAGATTTAGTATTAACATTCCTGACATAAGAACACAGTCAGACTAATAATAATTAATAACAAATAAGATTTAGTATTAACATGCCTGACATAAGAACACAGTCAGACTAATAATAATTAACAACAAATAAGATTTAATATTAACATGCCTGACATAAGACCACAGTCAGACTAATAATAATTAATAACAAATAAGATTTAGTATTAACATGCCTGACATAAGAACACTGTCAGACTAATAACAATTAAAGCACGTTATCCTTTACTGGCCTAACTGGGATTTTTAGATAAGAAGAGCTTATATTCAATACTCATCAAGCGATGAGACTTTTCGCTCAACATCAGAGTTCTTCGTCCCCCAGTGGCTCAGCGGTAAGTATGCAGGCTTATGACACTTAAAATCAGGTTTCCATACCTGTGGTGGTCAGAGCACAAATAGCCCACTGTGTAGCTTGCGCTTCACGGCTACCAAACAACCAATCAGAGTTCATCAGGCCGTCTGGATTACAGCATCAAATGTCCTAGTTAGACCAGTAAAAAATGACGTGACTTAAATAGTTATCAGTTTATAGTGATGTAATATGACATGTATAATATCATTAAGTGTTAGATTTCACTAACTAAATGCACGCATAGTGTCTCTCGCTCTGTCCAGAACCTTTTCAATCGGTTCATTTCTAGGCTTCTCACATACTTCATACTGAGAATGATATTTTTCATTCCTTGATCGTGTTTCCTTCAAATAAAAATTGGTATAATATGTGCCTTAAATAGAACTGCTGTTTTCTCAATGTATTAGTGTACTGGTAAAGGTTTTTAACTTGCTTAGTTGCCTCACAGTGATGAAAATATCTTTAATTGAGGGGACGGTGGGAGAGAAGATTTTTGTATGTTCTTCTCTGTAGTGCACTTCGATAATTATGTAAATAATAATAATATTAAACTAGGTAAATCCAGATTTTGGTAGGTAGCTGATAAAACATAAACTCTTAATTAGGTATTATAAAACGATATTCAGCTTAGTTTTCCTTGGTTTTCTAGGATATTACTATTAAAAGCTGTTTGATTGTAACTCAGATAATTGTATTTTCAACCTGATACATGGTTTAAACGGTAATGTCAGAAACCTCAAGGTTTAGGCTATGACGTACCAAATTAGTACTGCTGATCAGAGTGAAGGCAACCAATCAGCAGCATTTGACGCCTACACGGCTACTCTTAACCGAATAGCAGGATTAACTATTACTTTGATAATCAACTCTCGCCGGAAAGTACCAGGCGTTTTCAGCGGCATATCGTGGGCTCGAACCTTGGATCTTCCGATTCACAACCTGAAATGATACCCACGTTTGTTCCAAGTAGCGCGTATTGAAAAAAATCAAACTCATGATTTATGTGATCAAGAGAAATATGCAATTAAATTCCTGATGAAAGGATGTAAATAATAATTTATTAATAAAATTGGTTAGTTTAAATTATTATTTCTTAAATTTGTCAACTATAATGACACTGCGATCGTGTGGCGATTGTAATACACTAGTCGTTACATAATATGATAAACTTTTTAATTAACAAAAATATATGTCTTTATTATTGGTTTAGAATGTCAAATGCTTTAATATCGTTTAGTGAGAACAAATATCCTTATTCGACGTTCTATGAATGCAGTTGAGTATCACATTGTGTGATGTCAACTGACGACGATAACAGTAATTTCAATCAAAATAAACATCTCAGGAACGTCTCAGTGGTTAATATGCCCGTATTGTTAATCCTAAAATCCATTGTTAACTTCTCTTGCCGCAAAACCTCGCATTGGGTCCTGTGATGCGCTATAAGAGTGACAGTCAAATCTCACCTTTCGACCAGGCAACAGTAGTTCAAGAGTTCAAAGTGGGTGCTGTTGACTAGCTGTCTTCCTACTATTCTATCAGTTCAAAATTAGGACTGGCCCTTTGCGTAACTTAACGCGAGAATTATTAAACAACCAATATAATGTAGCATAAGACTTTCTTATTGTGATTAACTAAAAGCGATGTTAGGCTTCGGTAGCTAAGTTTAGCTGATAACGTTAAATGCTTCACAGAGAACTTTACTTTTGAATCAGACTTTCACGAGGTGTCTCTGCTGCTAGCAACGATAGTTGTTTATTTGTATTTTTCAAGTAATTCTACTGCCAACACAAAAAATGCATATTTAACAAAAAACAAATGTTCGCTCCTTCATACTTACCATTACCTCAAAATTAAAAGTAGCCACATTTAGAATTATTGACATGTAAGATACGAGGCGATGACAGCTGTACTGGAGCTCTTAGCACGTGTAGGTCACGATCGAAACTTCTACTTGTTGGAAAGGTTTCAAAATTTTCCACTTAGGGTGGCGAAAACACTAAGATATATTAAAACAAAATAACAAATCAACAGGAAATTACAGTATAATGTTGTTTCGCTGTATTACCAGAGTGAAGGCGATTTAAGCTCTTCAACTGCTAAGTTAATGAGAACATTTAATGTTGATAAAAAACAAGATATATCATATTCTATGACCATTATGTTATGTCACCAATGTAGCTAATGATTAATTACATAATGTATTTTCTCCCCTACTAATTTATCAAACATGTTTTTTTTTTTACCTTAACACAACTTGGACAGGTTATTAATTAAAATAACTGTCAATTTTATTGATTCTTTGTTGATTTTTAATCACATCTTCCAAGAAGTATATTGGAAAAACGGTGATGTTCTGTTCTGGAATTAATTGATTTTTTTTATAAAGTTTAAAACAAGCAGGAAAATTTTAGAAACTAATATATCATTTAGTTTGAAAAATGTATAATTGAGAGTTCAATAAATACATTTCTTAAATGGCGTCAGCCAACACGATATTTATAGATTTGTTCACGACGTTGTTGTAATAGACATGGGTTCATGAGGCATATGATAGAGATAGAAATAGACAAGTTCCAGTTCAAAGTTCGTTGTTTCAGTAGAATGTTTCATTTTTTTGTTTTATATCTATTTGAATTAGAAACAAGCCAAAAAAGCAAGTGAGCGAAATCTCCGTTATCAAGTAAGTATCTGAATTTTTTGTAACTATTTTTGAGATCAAAATCGTCAATACAAATATAAAATGATTAATTAAAGTTTATACAAAGCACCGTAACGTTAATATTCTAATATCATAGTACAAAAACATTAATTCCAAAAACTATTAATTTTAACTTATCTTAACAATGCGCCCTTGAACTAATTATATTCAACAAAACTAAGACCTGTTGTCTATAGTTTCTCGTATTGCAGTACTTGTGTAAGCAATGAATATGGGCATTTATTAGGCAATGTAAAATTGGTTATAGTCTAATATGGGAAATGGCATTTAAGAAATTACTTGGCAAGCTACTAACACATTTAAAACTGTATTTTTTATTTTAACGTTAGATATTGTTGCTGTATTATCTCAAGCTTATCAAATATTAAATTTCTAAGAAACCCGAAACTAGTGTAATTTTGTGCTTCTGCTTTTAGTTTTCTTACACGAATTGATTATTTGGAAACGTGTACACCAGCTAAAATGCAGTACTAATATTACATATAATGAGAAGTTGCCCATATGACGAAACTTCGACGCTTAATCATTTGAAGTCCCCTGGTGTTTAAGCGGTAACTTTAAAGACTTACAATGCTAAAACTGGGATTCGATTCCCCATGGTGAACAGGCCATCATGTAGCTTTGTACTAAGAAAACAACATCATAACCATTCTTATCGGAATTCAATATACTTATGTCATCTCTTACATAAAAGCATGTCAAACTTCAGTTATTTTTGAAAGGCACGCTATAGTCATTGCTTTTATTTGTTTATCTGTTTGTTATTAAACCCAAAGCTACACAATGGACTAGCTGTGCTGTGCCTACCGTGTGTATCGAAACCCGATTTTAAGAGATGTTGTAATTAAATGATATGATACACAATTGTGATAGTTATCAGGAATTTGAAGATTGACTGAGAGAATTTATTAAACTTTTAAGTTATTGTAATATCACTCAAAAATTCCTAAACAATAAAACACAATGATCTAGAAAAAACGTAATTTTTGTAATATATTTTTTAGCGGTTTTGATGCTTTTCAGTCTTTCAGAGTAAAAACATGAAACATAAGAACCCGAACAACACAAGAAAAACTAATCTGTATACCTCAGCAATAAAACAGTTTCCTTTGAAGAAATCTACTTTGGCGCCTTTTTGTTTAGCATGCAGTACATTTTAAGTGTTAGTGACTCAGTGTTGTAATAAATTTCTTATTGAAAAAAGATATCATATCTCTTTTCACTAACTTTTTATTGTTACAGGACCAAAGGGAATATATATAAGAAAGGTTTAATTAGACTATCAACGCCGTCTTTTATACATTTATTAAAATGTTGTCAGGCGTATAAAGTACTAATTAAAGGACTTTCTGAAACATGACTCATAAATTGAATTTCACTCTTAAATGTACTGTTTCCTCTATAAAAAAACTCTGCAAATATTGCATTCGAAAATATATATAATATTTATAGAAATACAGTCAAGTTTACTATTTACATTAGCAATAATTTCTCCAGTTGATCCTTTAATTTCTTAATACATCTTACATAACATTTACATAATTTACAATTAACACTATTGTAAGCAAAAGTCCTATTTTTTCTCTAATAATATTCATATTTTTAATATTTAACATTCTATACCTATTTTAGGTTGTTCTTAACTACAATAACTTTTACCTATTGAATAGACGGCCCGGCATGGCCAGATGGTTAGGGCACTCGACTCACAATCACCGTCCCTCTGTTTACAAGCGGTAAAGTTACATACGCATATTGGAGGATTCATATTGGTAGGCTTTGGTTTACCGTCAATTTTGAAATGCTTTTAAACTAGTCTATTCAATTAGTTTGTTCTGAATTTCGTGCAAAGCTACTCAAGGGCTATCTGCGCTAGCCGTCCCTAATTTAGCTGTGTAAGACTAGAGGGAATAGTGGGATTGACCGTCACATTATAACGCCCCCACGGCTGAAAGGGCGATCATGTTTGGTCATTAGAAAAATATAGGGTCCTCTAGCTTCGGGAACAATATCATGAACAATATCTATTTTGCCTAAAGGGTGTCTCTTTCCAGCATCAATCCTTGCCCCAGTATTCATTGAGCACATTTATTTTATAATCACAACAATTTCATTATTGCAATAGTTCTATTAAAACCACATTTATTGTAAATACTTGATCATCGTTCAAAAACTTCTCTTCATAACAATTGTCAAATTAATTTTACTTGGTGATAAATAAATCCTTGGTATAAAAACCCCCTCCTTAACAGGCTTTTATATAGCAGAAAAAGTGACGAAATTTAGCAGCTATTTATGCCTATGTTAGCAATTGAATTCAACTCAATTGAGAACAGGCAATGAAAAGAGGAGTATTATAGGATAAAAATTGGAATTGGACTGGTGTAACTCACGACATTTGGAGAAATCGAGCGTGATTGATCGACACTTGGCTTTTATGATTATGATTTATTTTTTTAGATTTTGTAAGCCAAATAACTTAGTTGGTCATGTGTATATTTTTAATTTACACTATAGTTAGGGTAATTGGTAGTAGCGAAAGAAATATAATTTTTAGGAAAATTTCACAGATTTATTAAAAATTATTCTTAGCTGAATATAAGTCTCTAAATTAATATTTACTATATCCTTAAATTTAAGGAAAATCATTTAAGTTCATTTAATCGAAAATTAAAGAATCTTTGAGCTAGATACATAGAAATATTCAATAATAAATTAGTGTGTTTAGGGTGATTACTATAAAAATTTAGGCAACGATGTTGGTTTTGTAAAAAACATCCGTTTCCACTTTTCTGTTTAAAAATCTGCATTATATTCCTTGATAAATTAAAAAGATTTCTCAATTTTATTAAGGTATTATTTGAAAAACATCATCTTTTTACTTATCCTTCCAAATTATAAAGTAGTCATCTAAATGTTTTTTATGCCAATTTTAAATACATGGCATAATTGTTTTTATGAATACTAGGTAAAAAAATTAACTTTTCTTTATCAAATTATCACATTACTAGGGTGGCGTATGTAGAATAAAATTAGTTGCTCACAGCTTTACTTAAATCTTTATGATATATCTTATTATTAAATTCAAAGAAACGGTTATATTAAACCAAATTAATATTTTCCATTATCTTTTGCTATTGAAATGTAATATTTAAAGGAGTTTCGAAATTATAAAGACAATATCCTACGGCTTTTAACCCACAGGGGAATTTAATACTAGGATATAATTAATCACATCCATGGTTAAAAGGAATGGTTTGTATTTATCGTTTTCGGAAGTTTTGAAATAAATCATTTTCACATATTTAATATTAATATTTACTTTCGTAATCATAGGCTCTAATAAGATATTTAAAATTTCACTCAGAGATTCAATGATTTTTTTCTTCTCCTACATATCTTTACTTTGTATTTTTGGTGGGTTCGTTAAGCACATGATATTTCTCAATATAATCCTTTAATTTATCCCATTTGGATATGTTTGACAAAGCATGAAAAATCCCTATTCCCTAATATTCATAACTGATTTAATTTCCTTAATTGTAAAATATCAAATACTTTCAAATAGGACTGAATTATAAGAAAATAAATGTTTGATTTTTTAAATAAAAAACAGAACCTAGGAAGTCACCTAGTGTGGATATACATCACAATAGAGTTTGTTTGTTTTAATTAAGCACAAAGCTACACAATGGGCTATCTGTGCTCTGCCCACCACGGGTATCGAAACTCGGATTCTAACGTTGTAAGTCCGCAGACATACCGCTGTGCCACTGGGGGGCACACAATAGAGACATATCTATAATAGCTATTATACAATTTTAGACATGCTTCTTGATTATTCCAATAATTTTATTACATAATTATGTGTTTTCTTTATTTTGCTGAAAGTAGTTATCTCTTTAAAATAAGGCAGTTTATTCAACGAACATAGACTTGATGGCGAACCTATAACGTATTTTATGCATTATTTCAGTTTTACGTATGTTCACATTTATGAAAGTTCTACGGTAATGAACGGCCCTGTCTTTCAAATGTGCTGTAATTTAACACATCAGACTTGTCAATTCAAAATGATTGAAGACGTTGACGGAAACGAATTGCCCTAGACTACATATCTCTTGTCTAGTCCAACGAAAATTACGTCACGCCATAACCTTCGTGCTTTTCTAACTTTTATTGTCGATAAGTTTATGCTGTTTATTTTAATAACTCTGTTTCCTCTCTTTGACCTCCCTCTTTTACATACAGACCATCATGAGAAATTTAGTTCGTCGGTATATCACTAAAGAACAAAGGCGTGCCGACAATCAAGGCGTGACTGAAGACGATGTGAACGAGATTAAACAAGATATCTCATCTTTCCGTTATGAACTAATGGAGGTCTTAAAAAACAGCGGGTTTAATACTTCAGTTGCAAAAGGACAAATGCAGGGTATGTTGCTCCATTTACTCAATTGAATTGCTGAATACGAAATAAGTTTTAAATTTGGGTAGACTATTCTGGCTATGTTGTTTTGTTAGCCACATAATATTCTTACTTGGCTCAAAGTACTTCTTTGTTAATGTAAATGAAAAATCAAATATCGCAATTAAAGCTTTAATGAGCATTCATTGATGAAGATTTACAGTTGATAAAACAACAAGTACTAATCGGAGTCCCTTTGATTATCAGGTGCAATTGGCGTGTGACATACAAAGGGCTAAGTACGTAATACTAAAGCAATTTTAAATATGTAAACCAGAAGGTAAGGTTACAACCATCGTTAGTATAACGTCGCGCTGGAACTACGTGTATATAACACAATTTAACGCTTCTTAGCTGTGTGTGTGTGATACTACTAAAAATTGATCACTTTTGAGAGGGTATGTAACAGCTCTTTCTGACGTAAAATAATCATACGCTCACATTATAAAGATGTGTTCAATTAAAATTTCTAAGACAGTGATATCCATCGTACTTAATAGCATAGGAAAACAGAAAAAAAAATGTATCAAATTAGGGATGATGACCATCCAGAAAGAGATCTGTAACAAGTCGTATGAAAGCTGTGGTAAACAAAGTGCGGCGTCTTCTAACAGGTGAAAAAGCAAGTCTACATGCCCCAGGCAACAGTACACAACATAATCAAGAACGATCTCCGTCTAAAAATGAGACCAATAGGATAAGAGCTCACCAAGATAAGAATTCCACTCATACCTCCTGTTCAACCGCTGAATACCTCAAGCAACTGGAACATGAACCATATGAAGAGATAAAGATCAAGTAGTCTATGGATTTCTGTTAGATAGAACTATTGAAATGGGAATCTATCGTCCTTGTATAGTAGTTGGAATATCGGAAAGCACCAGGGTGGAGTGGTATGCTTTGGACATCGTCTTTTGCAATATAAACTATGCTGCATGGTTATTGTCAAGATGCAAAGTCATTAGAGAGAGAATGACCGGACGTGGCAACACAAACTGTAACAACGTGATAAAACTCCTAAATTGTTTTAATATAAAGGTACTCAACCCTCTGTGTCATGTCGCCTCAATTGTGAAACATTTTTATAATTATATGCCATTGTTTTTAACTCTGCTTATAAAACCAGCATCTTACCCATTATTATAATAACCATAGAAGTTTGATGTTAACATTCAAAGCTAGTACATTGTTATAACTACAACAACAACGAGATGGAGTTTTATAAAGTTATCCTAATAACACTTTTTTTGATTTTATATGATCAATATTTGTTTTAGTTCAAATTTTGACCAGCAATAATTAATTCGAGAAATCATACTTTTCATGCTATACTTCAATAAGAATGAGCTTGCTGTGCTGTTGAGACTCCGCTGCCTTTGAGCGCTTTCATTAGTTCGTATATACTGGAATGACTAAAAACATAGTTAACAGAGGACGATCTATCAAAAATAGATTATGAACTTTTGGAAATGCAGCAGAAAAACGTAAGAATATAAGGTCTGAAGGACATCAACGTAATTTCACTGCTCTATATCGTTTCTGTTCAGAATCATGATAATGTAAGCTTATACTTAACGACGTGTCTACTTTATTTCTTTTCTTTGTACTCAGTAATGCGATTTCTATATATCATCTATTTACTTTGTGTAAAATATGTCTCCATTCTAATTATACTTTAGTTTTAAAAATCTGCTTTTTAAGTACGAAACGAGTACAAAATGCTTTATTTCTTTTGGTTAATGGTTAAAGTTAGATGATATATTTCACAGACACTTTCTTTAAAACACTTTCTTCTGCATACCGTGTATACATATAATAAAATACTTTTTAGAAATAGCAGTCTTCTCATATATCGATCCCATGAGAAAAAATAGGTAAATGTCTGTATATCTAATTTAATGGGAAGATTGGAATATAATATTTATTATACAAAACTCGTGGCAGTATCCTCTAAGCAAAGACTTACAGAGGTTTGTATATCTTATCTAATGGGAAGATTGAAATATAATGTTCATCAAACGAAGCTCGTGGCATTCATAAGAGTAATTAGAGGTTTCTCACAATTATGGAACTAACGAAATTAACATAGTTTATGTATCAGTTATTTCTGTCTGTAGTGATATCTTCGCTAGAGATTTGGTATATTAGTTCTTGCTTTCAAATACATATTTTGTATCCAAATAATGAATCAGAAGAAATATAAAGTAAATATTCTTATCACTTGAAAAGTACTTATAAACTCGTATGGTTTTAATATGTATCATTCAACCTTTGTTAAAATCTGTACAATTTAGTTAAAACAACGCATAAAAAGTGTGTGTTCAATGTATTTACTTAGTTACGCTTTCATTGAAGCCATGCATAAACGTGTGTTTAGTCTGTTTAGCTTACACGCTGGTATTAACATAACAATACATTTAAGCACTACAAGGGGTTTTTCTGGTCCATCTAGGCTGTTCTATTCGCTAAATTAAGTTTCACACACACACATACAAAATCTCAAAGCCAGCCTTTATCATTCAAATATTTTTTAAACATCATTATTTCACCTTTATAATTATTGTTAACAAGAAAGGCAGACTGAAGAATCGTTTGAAGAAGGGCTAATTTCATTGTTTCACTTTTTCAAGTGTTGGTGACAAGAAAGGCAGATTAATAGTATCATTTAAAGAAGGACCCATTTTCATATTCTCATTTTTTCAGGTGTTGGTGGCAAGAAAGGTAGACTAAAGGAGCGTCGTTTGATGAAGGGGTTCAATATCGGTCTTGTCGAAGGGTCAACAAAACCAGACTTTAACCTAAACATCTCTAAGAAACCAGCAACTAATAGGTTTGTGAAAGTTGCACGATTAGCCTGTGAAAAGAAAAGTGCGAAAATTCGAAAATGGAATAACTTAATGGAAGCCACAAAGAGTGCACGAACTACTCTTTATAAAAGTCGAAGTGTGGAATCCAAAAGTGATCAAGATTCTTCAGATAACCACAGTCAGTGTGAAATGTCTAGTGAGTCCAGTATAAGTATTGTTTTCCCTCCAGATACCTGTAGTGCAGAGGAAGCTAAAAAGGATCAACTCGATACAGTCACTGAACTTCCTGACACAAAGCTAGCCCGATTTGGACGGACATTTGGAAGTTTGAAATTTAACCCTTCGAAATTAAAGCTTGTATTTCAAGACCAAACTAAATACTCATCTCCCAGGGTTCAGTCAATTCCCAAATTAATAGGAATTCCAGAGAATAAAGAAATCGATAGGACTGTTAGTGCTCCTGGCTCCACTGTGCCTCAAATACCACCAAAAACGCGTTCTTTGGATTATCCATCAGACGACATTCCTTCTCCTTCAGAAACTTTCATCCCCTTAAAACTAGTCGTCCCCGAAAGGAGTCTATCTCCAATTCCGAGTTACGCTGAATCCAAATTTGTTACTTCAGAAACTACGGTAAAATCAAAGTGGGATTTCTCAGAACTTCAAGAAATTCCAAAGCAGGACCAAAGTGAACAGTATAATCTTTCAAAAAAACCTTTCTTTATTTCCGCAGGAGAGGTAAATCCCGTCATTAGCTACTCTTGTAGCCGTTCTGGTGGCAGACCTATTCCTGAAGTTGCCAATAACAACTCATCCTTGGAACAGCCTTTGATGAAGTCCGATAAAACAGTAAACGGGTCTATTAAGATCATGTCGCAATTATTTGGAATCGAACCAGCAGAGAAACAAATGTCTATGGGCTGGATATGATAACTTAGCATTATCTAGTCTTGCATTAATATTTTTGTACAGAGATGATATACCAGCTATGTAAATAGGCTTAATTAGGCACACGGAAAATGTTTTCTTTGAATCAAAAAATATCTTCTCATCACTGGCGCTATTAATTTACAGTCAATTATTTTGAAATATACAGTAATTGTTGCAAACTATTGGTCTACAATCAAGAAGATACAACTAACTTGTTTTGTTAATGTAATTTTAGCTCTAGAACTCTTTCTACGAAAGAGGCCTGACATTTATTATAGGATCATTAGAACAATATATATATACGTAGATCATTAAAAATCTGAAAAGTTTATTCACTTTATGTAACTTCTGTGTATTTTAAACTAACAAAAACTTTACACACACTGCAACCGAGAAAGATAAAACAGAATAATGGCTGATTTTAGGATTTGTGTAAGTGACAATTTTAAACTACAGAGTGTCTTAAGCTTAGGTTGTTATAAATGACACTTTTTTGTTTACATATGTCAGTCCATTTTATTTTATAAACGTAAAGGCAAAATAACACAACTTTATAAAAACGCGCACAAAACATTTGATTTTTTTTATTTCTGTATGTGTATATAATAACACTAATAAATGATTCCTTCCTTTATCGTTCTATATGTAGACCTTCGGTACCCACATTTATGGGTGTAGATCTCTCATGTTCATTATTGGTCTTGAGAAAGGTACTAGAGGGTATTAAAAATTAACATCTTTAAAATATTCATAGCATCAAGTTGTATTATAAAATAATGTTTGCTTTTTTTTAAAAAAAAGTAATTCAAAACAACAGTATTTATTCTCCAAACATTTTTAAGTGCTTGTGCCTTGATAATATTATCAGAAAGGGTAAACAAAGAGATCATTTGGAAGCTGCAATAAATGAAAAGATTTAAAGTAGATAAAATCCTCGTATATCATCGTTCAATCATTCATTGACCTAAGTTATGAATTTTAAACAAACTAAGTATTTTTCATCCAATAATTGAAAGCTAGATAAACGAAAACGCGTGCTTTTGTGTAAATTTTATGTTTCTCTTTTCATCTGAAAAATATCCATTGCTTTTTAGTTTAAGATCTTGAACAATGTCCATTTAGCACAAAGAGTTGCCACATAGATATATATTTTAAGCTGTATTTTGATAGTTATTATTATTTGTAATCAGACCCTTTGATATAGGTCATTATAAAAATGATTTGCCAAAATTTTAGCAGCTCAAAAATGGAGGTTTCGGGTCAGGAGCATGCTCCAGGGGTATCTTAACTAACATAAAAAAATTAGTAGGCCAAATAATTATTCCAGTCAGGAAAACAATCACAGTAAATACCATACTTATCACTTACAAACCTGTAAGATTTTTTATTAATTAATTTTTGAAGATTTATACAATGCCGTGGAAATAGTTATTTGTTCTTTTAAATTTCATTTCTCCTGTTCTCGTTAACGAAGTAGAACTTATGTTACAGGTTTATAGGCACATGTTTCTGGCCAATTTTATAAAACTTTTAATCTAAAAGAGCGCAAGACGATCTTAGAACTGACGTGGTATTTGTTAAATTCATACGTGATTCATGATAATTTGTTTGATTTTTTTTTTACTTTCTTACGTCCTTAGTTCTCTTAAAACGTAAACAGGTTTGCCATGGCTTGTATATCAACATTCTTCCTATGCGATCATAAATATATGTGTGTCGGCCAGTTTAACGAATATCTGTTAGACAAGTGATTCTTAACCTGTTTTTTATCCCTTACGTACCCCTTCACAATTCAAAGACAATCTTGTGTACCCCCATACTCAGATAGGTCTATCTGAAGAAGCTAATCTTACTATGTAAAAGCAGCAATGACTATTCCAATATATTCCATCATTGTTATAACTTACCGAAATAGAGTATTTCTAGTTTTGGGGGTAAGTGTACTGTGTGAATAGCATGAATAATATTTCCATTTATTGTTTATACAATTATCTCAAAAACTTTGTGAAAACTTTCAAAGTATCAGTTGAAAACACGAAGAATTGTGAACATGTGAAGTGAGTTTCTATAGTGGAAGATTTGTTACTTTCACATAAGAGATGTATTTTTTATTATTACGAAGTCATCTGCATAATTAAAATTTTATTAATGTCATGAAATCCTCAACTAAATTTGTTTAACTCAATCGGTCGTGCTTTTCTTATTCTAAATCTGATTTAATATTCTGAATATCTTTCCTTTTATTTAAAAAACACTAAATTCAGTTTATTCACGTTCATTAACAGTTTTTATTTCCCTGAAAGACATCACGTACTGCTTATAATTTTTGCAGCCGTCCAGTATTTGACCTTTATAATCATGGTGGTGCTGTTTAATGTCTGTTATTAAAGTTTATTTAATAACTCAGTCCAGTTAAAGTCCAGTTTTATAAAGAAAGGTGATTCTGTTTGGAATAGTGAACAGTTTCGATCACAGAGAAAATCAAGTCAAGTTCAAAGAATGATGCCCTTCAATTATAATTTAGAATAAATTGTAGACTGAGATTTATTTGACTCAGCAGACCATAAATAGTTGCATAACGAAAGGATAAATTCCAGATAGCTTAGATCATAGTAGTTTAGAAGGTTCATACTAACGGATTTGTCCAATTGAAAGTCATCTGATGGTTAATAAGTTATCTTAGACTGTTTGGAAATAAATACAGTAGCTAGATTAATATTGAATAGATATATATAACATATTAGAAAGTGTTTTATGTATTTTTCTTTGCCTTTTTTTTGTAATATTCTGACTTCTGAATTAAAATAGTTATTTTGATGGTTAATTATACACGAGTTAATTATAGTAATTCAGCCTTTGTGTGATTCCTTTTTTTTTAGTTTTGGTTAACTGACTGTGATAACTATTCAAAGCTCCCTATTTGCGTCATATGGAAAAGTATTTCAAAACGATGAGGACAAGAGGGATAATTGTAAATAATACTTACCTTTTGTGTTGGATAAGTATAAAAGTCCCTGCTACTTCGAAAAATGCAACTCCAGATTTTTCTACTATTCATCTCTTCTTTCTTTCTAAATCTTACGTAATTTCCTATATAAACAGCTTACCACTCTTATCTCACAAAACTATATTTTCATTGTAAGTTTTAAAATTCGCATAATATCGGTCATCTCTAATTTTGCACCTTCACCGCCAGGTGTCCTGTTCCAATGGTAGAAGTAGTTACGATTAAAGTTATTTCTGGTGAACGACCTGGATATTTATAACCATAAATGTTTACTTACCGTTTAAATATTTAAAAAATATCATAATGCTATTTCCAATTTATACGTAATGTGAGTATATAGTAAACACTAGTCACTTAGAAAATAACACTTATTTGCTTGAACTGATTACTTTTCACGATATTATTATTCTCTTTCGTTATGTCCAAAAAAAAAAAAACAAAAAAAAAAACACGCAAATCCAGCTTCAACAGTTACTTTGAAATACAATATGGGCTATCTTAGTTTGATGATAATGGTTTGCTAATGCTAGTTAAATACATGTTTAACCAAATAAAAGCGTTAAGTAAAATAAAGGAAAACGCATAGAACTCTACAAGTATAGAACATGTATATAAATAGTTCTCATGAACGTTAGAAATCCAACTTCAAACAATTCATGCAAAACTTTACGAGGATGTAAAAGGTATTAGAAATAACTGTTTTTGCTTTATTTTGTTATTTGATATTCAGTTTGAAATTCATTTTCCTTCGTTTCGTGAACGATCAACGTAAACATTATCTGTGTATTCTTATCACTTTCCCCTAATTAAAAATCAACCATTAAGAGGTGTTCCAAGTATTCTGGATATGTTTTTCTTGTGAAATGACCTAGCAAAAGCTAAGTAGGATTAGAAGCGTTTCAAACAGTTGCTATCTATTAATCTGTCTTTTTTCAGATATATCATGCCACACAACTTAGAAGGAACAAAATAACATTAATTTAGAATATATGTTAGTTAAGAAGTATTTTTTACAATATTGCACGTGTAAAATGTTTGCCTTTCAAGGCGGACGTGGTTGAGGCTTAATGTCGACAGCGAGACGACTGAAATGGGGTCGGCCAATTAGAAAAACCGGTCTTTAACCGGTAAAGACGAGTTGGAAAAGCAGTGACGAAAACTGACCCTAAAATCCAGTTGCTGTTTTGTTCTCTTACCTTATTCTACTACGATATTTTGTTACTGCAAGTGTGAGACATAGTACCAAACGAAGCACATCACGTACTTGTTGAAGCTACATCAGAGCGGTTAAATTTAACAGTTTTATATGGTCTGTGCGCTTCACTCAACAACTTAAATAACAACCTTTTTGGTAAGGACTTAAAGACTTAGTGCCAAAGTAGTCTGTCGAAAGATGGGAGTTTGTCTTTGAACGCAGGTGCCAATTGTAACAAACAATCTCGGGCTACGTTCTAGCGAAGTTCGAAACGTTTTCTTTTGTAACATTCCTGTTTTTATTTGTATTTCATTCATAAAGAATTAAATTTAATCGCGCAATAACTTAAGAGACGGGCGTTCGTACGCAAACCTGTAACTATCTGTTAAGAAATACAACTTTGTAGCCGCTATATGGCAGTAAATTCACCTTTATTTCGTGAAATGAAAAGTAGACATTCAGTTGCGGTTATACAGTGAAAACAGGGCAAGGTTTTATTTATTACTTTTTCTTACGGTATATCTGTCGAAAGAAATATTTACAGCAAAGATTATGCCGTTGTCATGGAAACTGTGTTTCATTTGGGTTTCGGCCCTTCGGAAATCTTGTGACCTTCAGAAAATGATTGTAATGTTCATGACTTATTCCTGAGAAAATCCAGGACTGTAGAGGTGATTACCGTAGATTTTATCTTCGCTTGTATGTATATATTTTATAGTTATGATGAGAAAGAAGTACTTTTTAACTGTTTTTTTAGGTTTCATGGTTCTTTTGAGTTGTTTTTCTCTGCTTTGTAATTTAATGCAGGAAAAACTTATATCTGTGTCAAGGCGAACGACTCCCATCGTTTCGGATCGCAATGTTTCACGTAAAACATTTCCCCCGCAAACACTCGTTTCACCTCATCAATTTGTTCATCCTACGGAAATCGTGGATCCTTATCAAATCCTTGCAGATCAAGTTCATGGTCCGTCTGAACTTAACGTGGCTTTCACGGCCAATAACGCTTACAATAATATCAAGATTATACGAAGAATGCAACTCTGTCTTAGAAGCCTCCTGCGGTTGACCAACTCTCCCATCCATTTTCATGCAATTTTAGATGTTGCCAGCGTGAAGCGTGTTGCAAGAACACTGAAGAAGATTGCTTACGGTACGAAAAGACCTTTTAAGGTGAGAAATAATAGTTTCAAATTTCCAAAAGGATTAAGTCTCTATATTTGTTTGTTTGTTTTGAATTTCGCGCAAAGCTACACGAGGGCTATCTGCGCTAGCCGTCCCTAATTTAGCAGTGTAAGACTAGAGGGAAGGCAGCTAGTCATCACCACCCACCGCCAACTTTTGAGCTACTCTTTTACCAATGAATAGTGGGATTGACCGTCACGTTATAACGCCCTCACGGCTGAAAGGGTTGGTGTGACGGGGATTCGAACCCGCGACCCTCAGTTTGCGAGTCGAGCGCCCTAACCACCTGGCCATGCCGGGCCGCTCTATATGGATCCCTACTTCGTGTAGCCACACAAGCTAAATTCTATGGGTCTCATTTACGATATAAGACTTACCTTGATTGATCATATAAATAACATTAAAAACACAATTTTTGAAAATATTCAATCACGAAAGAAGTAAAGCTGGTAACGCCAGAGGTGCATCTCCTGGTAGTTTTCTTCAAATGTTTAAGTCATATATCAGATCTGCCTTTGAATGTGCATGTCGTATAGAGTAACTAGATTTATATCTATAAAGTTTTCACATAATTATGCAAGCCTCCATATGTTGCCCAAAAATTAAGTAAGAAGTAGAGTAATTTTGATAAGTTTATTTTACCTGAGAATAATAGGGTTAAGTCCCTCTTCACTATAGTTTCCATTCTAAGGGTGAAATTTTGGGGTCGCAGATGCGTTATAACAGTGACAATCAAATACCATAATGCGGATAGATGAGAGTTGGCAGTGGATGCTGATAACTAGCTACCTTCTTCTAGTCCAGCGTTTCTCAAACTTGGGTCCCAAATCAAAAGGGGATATTATAGAGTATATACAGTAATCTGCTGTGTGTGTGGGGGGGGAGTCGTCACAACCTGAAATATTATCAACGGGAAGGAGGCTCAACAAAATGATTCAGTGGGTGCTGACGACTAGCTACAGGACCTTCCTTTAGCGTTTCTCAGACCGTGGTCCTAACCCAAAAGGGAATAGCGAGATGATAAAAAGTATTGCGATGATGATATCATAGAGTATATACAGTAATCTGCCGTATCTCTGTGGGGAGGGGGGGGATCGTCACAACCTGAAATATTATCAAAGGGGGTGGGCTCAACAAAATGCGTTTGAGGACCCCTGTCTTAGTCTACCGCTTCAAAATTAGAGACGGCTAGCGCAGATAGCCTTACTTTACATGCACACTAATGAAAGCTATTGAAATATAAGAGCAAAAACATATTACATACTCGTAGAAAAGGTAAAGTGATCAGAAATGATTTTATTTCCTGATGAATAATAAGTAGGCAAACAACGATGTTTAAGCATAAGGAAGCATTTTATTGATAGTGGAACATACCACATGTTTCGACATTGGTCTATCTTTTTGCAGGTATACAAACAGAGTTGATAACGAATAAATAAATTTTACGATTTCAAGTACAGATTATGATAAGTTTAACAAGAACAGTATACATATAATCAAAGAATCACAACAACTGAAATTAACGCATTCAATACAGTTAGAACATAATAAGTCGAACAATAAAACATGTTAGAAGGGGTCTTCGGAAAAGGTAAATGCTCAAGGTGGTTGATATGTGTCGTTAAGTGTTTTTATTGTGTTATAGGGGGGATATGTGTTTGTTCCATGATTCTGGTATCTCAGCTAATTTCGCGATTTTGCTTAACAGGGAATTACGATGTTTTGATTTTTTTGTGTATGCGGTAGGTAGTTCAATAAACCTTTCTGTGGGAGTTTTCATTTTACTAGAAACGTGAAGATACGTTCCTGGTGTGTAAAAGTGGAGACTATATACTATTCTGATTGCTTTTAGCTGTGCTGCTTCAAGTGATTTGTATAAGTTGTTAGACATGTTACATGTAATGACATTACCATATTTTGATACTGGTCTGATGTACATTTGGTATTACATGTAATGACATTACCATATTCTGATTCTGGTCTGATGTACATTTTATGTTACATGTAATGACATTACCATATTCTGATACTGGTCTGATGTACATTTTATATTACATGTAATGACATTACCATATTCTGATTCTGGTCTGATGTACATTTTATGTTACATGTAATGACATTACCATATTCTGATGCTGGTCTTGTGTAACTTTTATAGATTAATAAAAGAGTTTGAGCATAACCACCTATTTTCTTTAGATAGTTTACTCTTTGATTTATTTTTTAATAATTTCACAAAAGTGAGTATTCCGTATAAGTTTGTTGCTGAAAGTTATGCCCCAAGATTTAATTGGTGTACTTTTTTTTTCCTGCTTCCTTTAAAGACTTTACTGAATATCATGGCTTGTGTCTTTAGTGGATTAAGTATTACGTGCCAGGTGTTAGACCACTTGGTTATGTGGACTAGTACAACTTGAACTTTCTTTGCTGCTGTGCGAGGGTCACGTGACATGCTCCACACGGTTACGTCAATGGCATACTGTGATGCGAAAGTTTGAGCGAGATCGGGAAAGTTAATATCATTTACAAAGATTATGTAGAGTAAGGGGCTTAAAACGGAACCTTGTGGAATTCCTGCTTTTAAGTCAAAGGTTGTGGACAGGTTATTATTGACTTTGACTTGAGCTGTTAAAAAACAAGAGAATTATAAGGGAAATTGGTATATTGTGCTGAGAAAGTTTATATCCTACAGGATATTGTGCCACACACTATCGGATGCTTCTCTGACGTCAAGAGGAGAGGCTAATGTTGAGTGATTTCGATTAAAGCCGCCGTGAAAAGCTTCTGTTAATCTGACTAGGTTGTCAGTAGTTTGACGTTTTTCCTAGACGCGTTTTGTATGTCTGTTAATAATTTATTTGATAACAGAGTAATCTAGTTGTGATTCCAGGAGCTTTCCTATAAAGACATTAAAAAACATTTTACGGCCCGTAATTTGCTGCGTTGCTAAGATATCCACCTTTTTTGGGGATGATACTTATAATTGCAGATATCCAGGAAGTGGAGAGGTATCCTGCACTTAACCATAGATTGTACAAGGCACAAAAGTGCTTAAGAAGTAATTCGGTAATTCTCTAGTATTAAATTTCCCTATGCCGTCTTCGCTGGGGGATTAGGTTTAACTTTTTAATTTCGGCTAAGGATATAGGTCTGGTAATACTAAAATCGGTGGGTATGCTGTTCGGGTCTAAACTAAGGGAAAATTGGGTATAAATGTATAATTGTTGTTTTCGAGATGAGCATTGACTTTGAGGTAGTGTTTTTGATTAAATCTGGCTGAATTTGGCGTAGTAGAAATAGTTTTGCAGTAGGCACTAAATAGATAGGCATTTTTTTCATCTGTTAATGCAAAATTATTATATTTAATGATATGATGATACTGGAAACTGAGTCATTGTAAATTAATTTGAATTTGCGCCAGAAAAGGGACGGGTTTTGCCTGTTATTGTCGATTGACTCACAAAGCTGTTGCTAATTTTCGTTCTTCTGGTCTTTAATAAGTTTCTTAATTTCCAGGTTTGACCTGTTAATGGGAGATTTCAGGTTTGGGTCTCTTGTTTGTATATAAAGCCTGTGTAAACGCCCTCTTTTCAAAATTAACGTATGTATTTGTGGGGGGGAGCATCCAATTTTGTCATCCCAAACTGTATGAACGGTGAATAGACAGTGATTAATGTTTAGTACTATTTTACGTGTTGGTACAGTATTTTGCAGCGCCTGTGATATTGCATGTGTGATGTCAGATGCAAAACTGTCTATTTCTGCACTGTTGTTGGCTGAGTTTTATAAAATTAGGAAGTAGAGCGTCTATGTTCTGGTTCAAAATGTTCCAATCAGCTTTCGTGTAATTGTATGTTTTGGAAAGTGATGCCAAGTTAATGTTGCGTGGGTTAATATTTAAGTCAAAGGATATGAGGTCACGATCACCACCTATGTTTTCTTGTATACGGAAGTTATAAGCATGTGAAATAAGTGTGTTGTGATTATTGCGAGATCTAATATATTTTGCGCGCCGTTGTTAAAAGTGGGTATTGGAGTTGCGTCGTTGATTACCGTTAAATTGTCATTTTCAACTAGGCTATGTATGATGTTTCCGTTACTGTTTTTTGTGCGGCAATTTAAGTCTGTATGTTTGGAGTTAAGGTCTCCTAGGATTATCGTGTGATTGTTTTTAGTTAAAATATTTTGGAAGAAAGAGATGTCAAGTTTTTTGGTCGGTGAGACGTATACTGCTAAGATGACTATGTTTGCGTGATTTGGTGGATGTATATAACAAAATATATATATTCATTACTACTATTGATGTTAATATCAGGAAAGGATATTTTAAAGTCTTTTTTTGTGGGTGTAGTAACGCGAATACCTGTTGTTTTGGGAATTGAAATTGCCTTAAAGTTATGGAGTTTAAAATTACATTGATGATTTTTTAGTGTTTTGTTTATTACAATGATGTCAGAATTTAGTTTAATACTAAGGCTGTATAGTTCGTATTTTTTATATTTAAACCACCTTGAATATTTACTTGTAAAAATTTGAACATTTTACATTTTCCTGGGGCTGGGTCTTTTCTAACTTCCTGTTCTCCTCTCGATGTGGGCTTTCAGTCGTTTGGGGGTCCCATCGATGGCGTTGAAATTGTAGAAAGCGACGTGACAAGCGTCTTGGATGATCTCGTCCGGGGTGTTTATTTCGTGACTAGAGATCCGGATTAGGAGGTCAGCAATGAAGGCGGCAACGCTTTCTGGAGAGGGATGAATTGAAGATTCATTCTGGTTGCGTCAGCGTGCGTCCTGTGGCGTGTTACATCTTTAGGCTGACTTTGTTGAATGTTAACAAGTGCTCCACAGTTGAGGAAGAGTTGGCGTCAAACTTACGGGTGAGTGGCCGTTGTTATTACGTCGGTGGTGTTTCTGACGGTTTTGACTACTTTCAGAACCTGTTGATACTTAGGGCATCCTTTATAGCTGGCGGCGTGTGGTCCTCAACAG